AAAAAAAAAAAAAAAAAATATATATATATATATATATATATATATATATATATATTTATAAAATATAATAAGCATATTCAACTTAATTAATGATAGATTTTAAGAAACAAAAGCAAACAAAAAAAAAGCTTTAGAGTAAATTTGTTTCAATATTCATTAATAATTTTTTAAAATTGAATCTTTCATAACATTAACGTTTTTCGTTTAAGCTATGCACCATAATTTCATGTCAAATTTGAAACGATAAACGTAAAATTGATTAAGCATTCAAATGCTTTGCCATTTTCAATTTTGAAACTAAGCCGCAATGCCCCCAGTGCAGCTCTTTACACTCGACTATAATAATTAATTTTTTACGCATGCCATTGCACAGTGACAAGAGCTTGAGCTTAAATGAAAAATAGACTGACAATTTTGATTGCAATATAAATCGGGTCAGCTCTAGTGTATTTCCCATTGGGTCTGTCTGAACCTTGACTCGCTTCAGTTAACATTTCATTATTTCTCTGTGGGGCCCGGCTTCGACTGCTCAGCGTGCGATTTTTCAATATCCCGTTGGACAAACGCCCATTTGGAATGGTGTCCGGCGGGCTCTGTGTGTGTGTGTGGGCAAAAGGACGGCAGGGGGACGCAGTTCGAGGTCTACCCTTCTACCCATGTGACACATATGGTCTCGTGTTGACGCGACATAAAATATGCAATGCATGCAGTATGTCAGCGCGGCTCGCATTTTTCATTCAGCCATAACCCGCAAACCCCTGTGCAGGGTCCTTTTTTTGGGGTGTTTGTGTGTGACTGTGTGTGTGTGGGCCAAAAGTCATGCCCTTTCTTATATATACTCTATTTTTTTTTTGCTGTATTTTTCGCCTGGTCTACCCCATTTTACTTTTTTCCCGTGTTGTCAAACCCATTGCATGAAAAAACTATCAATAATGCGCCACGCCCACAGCGCCCGCAATGGAATATACATATAGATGAGCATAAAATGTTTTGCCTTATGACTTTTTATGCAGCTCGTGCCACCTGCAAATATTTTAATATGCTTCGCCGAATGCTCGCTGGGCAACGAAAAAAACGAATACGTTTTTTTTTTTATTCCAAAGGGGTTTTTACCAAAAAAAAAAGGAGAAAAAGCAGGAAAGTTTACCATGTGGGTGCCTCCTCCTGCTGGCTGGCAACCAACCGACATTTGATGTTTTTCCGTTTCACTGGGATTTTACGTGGCTTCGCTCACATTTCGCACAAAGTAGCCAAGTTTTGTAAGCTGTTCAGTTTTTGGCGGTTTTCGGCTGGTGTTATTATTGTTTAGCTTTAAAGCCCCAACTAAATGGCCCCGAAACGAAGCCTGTGGCATATGTGCAAATGTGCTTTATAGCTGCTGCAGCAGCAGCACATCATAGCCATATGCGCTCAGGTAACCAGATATCATGGCCGTACCGCGGCGTACTACGCATAGAGCTATTCAATCAATTGGAATTTCCATTTCACTGAAAATATTTGAATATTTACGCACAATACGAGCGGGGTTGCCTGGGGCTCGCATCGAGGGTTTGAATTGAGATTTGGGATTGGTTTTAAATTGTGGCTTTCAGTTTGAGGGGATGTTTGTGGATCAGCGGCATGAACCAGACCTGGTGGTTTTAGCCCGTTTGCAAGTGACAGAGAAACAGACAGAAGAGAGTGAGAGACAGACAGACAGAGACGAGGGACGGGCGTACACTTTCAACTGCAGGTGGATAAATAATAATATTGAAAATTCATTTTATTTATATGTTTTTGCAAAGCATTTGCCCAAAATGTGCAATGCAATTATTGTTGAGGTTTTTTCCATTCGATGCAAATATGCAAATGAATTAAAGCAAGTGGGCATAGTGGAAACGCGATAGTGATGGACGTGCAGTTAGCCTGGCTTAAACGTGGCTGATGACAGCAAAACAGATGCTAGCGCGTTAAGCAGAGGGCTTAAATATTGAGCTATATGAGCATATCAATATGCGTTCGTCTAGCTGAACTGAAAATGTTTATTAATATGAAAATATTTGATATTATAAATAAAATATAAACTGTAAAAGTAAAGTTATATAAAAATATAAAATGTGAAATTAAAAACATAAAATGTAAAAAATAAAATATATCATATATAAAGTATACAATATAAAGTATACAATATAAAATATAAAATATAAAATATGAAATATAAAATATTAAATATAAAATATAAAATATAAAATATAAAATATAAAATATAAAATATAAAATAT